CGCAGGCCCGGGCGCGGGTCGGCGCCGAGGAGGGTGGAGGGCAGCCGGGCCGGGGCCGGGGTCGTGGCCCACCAGCGACGGACTCCGTGGCCCGGCGCGGCCCGGTCGAGCGGACGGGCGTCCTCGTCCTCCTCGGAGCTGCCCCGGACCGAGGCGCGGCGCCTGAGCGGCGCAGGGCGGGCGGGGTAGGCGAAGCCGCGGCTCCCGGACCAGGAAGCCGCGGAGGCCCCGAGATCGCCGAAGGCCCCAGAGGTCGCGTAGGCCGAGCCCGAGGCCGGCGGGGAGTGCCAGGGCTCCGCTCGCAGGGAGGCCGCAGCGGGCCGGGCTCGCAGCGGCGCCTCTTCGCGCAGCCGGGCCTCCTCGCGCAGCCGCTCCTCGCCCCGCAGCCGGGCCTCCTCCCGCAGCCGCTCCTCGCCGCGTAGCCGGGCCTCGCCCCGCAGGCGGCGCAGCTTGTTGCGGTAGACGTCCCGGGTGGTGTCGGTGATGGGTCCTGGCTGGAAGCCCAGGGCCTGTAGCTCCCGCCGCAGCTCCAGGTCCGACAGGCCGGCCATGGCCAGGACGCCGCCCCCCGCCCGCCCCTGGCGCGCACCGCACCCGGAACTGCTCTCGCCGGCGGCCGCGGCGGAGCGGGCGGGGCCCCGCGCCATGATGGGAAGGTCGGCCTTTGCCGCCATGTTGAGAAGGTCGGCGCCTCCCCGATTGCCGGCCATGATGAGGGGGTCAGACTCGGCCATTAAGGCCGCCATGTTGGAGAGGTCCAAGGATTTTTTTTTTTTTTTTTCCCCCCCCCTTTTCCCCCCTCCGTCCTCACTCAGTCCTCCTCCTCGTCTGTAAGGCCAATCGGTGTTTTCTTTCTGAATCCTCCGCCCCTTGCGCGGTCCCTGGCACGTGGTAGGCACTCAGTGAATTGTTGATTTAGTGAATGAATTGCTTGATGGTGAAAGACAAGCCACTACGGAGAGCAGGGAGATGGGACCCTTCGCCGCTCTGTGCTTGGGGACCTTGTGTGATCCCTTCTGCAGTCAGGGAAGGGCTTTGGGTCGTGGACTAGACGCCAGGCATGCCACGAGACCCGGTCCGACCTGAGGTCGAGGACTACAGGCTTCTGTGTTTTCTTGGGAGTTAACTCTGAGGTGGGGCTCCGAGGGGGCACCGGCCCTGCCTCAGGCCAGACACCGCATGCACCGAGAAGGCATGCACCGAGAAGGCGGAAGAGCCAAATGCCCTTGGGCTTGCGTGGGCAGTTCAGCCTTCTGGGAGGAGGCCATATGTCTGGATAGTGGGATTTCCCTGAGAGATGGGTAGGGGAAGACCCCTGAGATACAGTCCTGTGTCCCTTGCAGATTTAGGTTGAGGACATTTGAATCCCAACTGCACCACTGTTAGATGTGTGATCATATCCAATGAACATCTCTAGCTTGCTGGCCAGTAAAGTTGATAGGGTTGCTATGAGGATTAGAACAGGTAACTTGTTTAAGGTGCTTAAAACAGTGCCTGGTACACCTCCTAAGTGCTTATACTTAACCCCTATCTCTGCGGTGGCAGCACATGTGTGATCTCCCACAGGACACCCTCTTTGATTACAGGAAGGCCCTTGGCTGAGAAGCCCCTAAGGGAAGCGTGGGAAGTGGTGGCAAAGGAAAAGAGCGCCATGGCTCATAGTTGCCCTTCTGCCCTCTCCCCTCTTTGTAATCCTTCTACATCCTTCTTCAGCTCCCTGTCCCAAACGTTTATGGCCGACCTTGGCCTCTTAGGTTCCGCTCCACTCCTCCTCCTCCTCTAAATCAGTTCCCCTCTTCCCTGCCCGTCGCCCACTCCCCATCACCCCCCTCCCCAGGTCTCCTCCTATTCCTTCCCTGGGTCACGGGCAAGGCCCCTCTGCCAGCGGTTTGCATTCCTGCCACTCGCTGTCCCACAGGGGTATTCCTACACTGGCCGCAATTGCTGGGAAAATTACAGGCTCGGCTCGGTCAGGCTTCCATTGTCAGCCTCCCCATATCCCCCAACCTAGCTGTTCCCATGTGGTGCAATTTTTCTCACCAAGTGTTGTTTTCCTTTTCTCTGCCTGTGTTTGCACGGAATGCCATGAATTTGATATAGTGATTGCCTAACACATATACCACATAATAGTATTTTATTTCTTTCTGAAGCACTGTTTGCATGACAAATGAGTTGGTAACATTTGTGCAACTCCTTGCAGCTGTGCAGTTCCATATATAAGGAATGAGCCTTTCGGCATCAATACTGGCCCCGTGTAGTCTAAGAGGGCTTGAAGCTGACGCTTAAACCAAGTGAACGTTCCGGCGTTTCGCAGAGTTACGGTCTGTTTCACCACAATGGATCCCAGGGCAATTTAAAAATATGTACTGAACTAGAGCTGCCCCCAGCAGCGGTCCCCAGCGTGGGCTTTGTCAGCCTGCCTTGTGTTTGGGGACGCTGCTACCGCCGCACATACCCGGGGCCAAGTGACCCCCCACCCGCCAAGCCTGTTGTCTTGCCTCTAGCCTGGAACCCATCATGTTGGCAGCTGCGGTTTTCTGCCCCCCTGTGGTCTACTCTTTGCCTCCACGGGGCTTCTAGCAGTTGCTGGATTCATCTCACTGGGTTGAACAGGCCTTTGGGGGTAGGGTGCTACCGCTCGTAGGGTGCTTGCCAATCAGTGTCCCCCCTGCCCCCCGCCCCCATGCCCGCCCCCAGGAAGAAACCTCACCATCTGATTGAGCAAAGTCAATTGGAAAAACCCTCACAAGTCAGTCGTCCCTCTCAGGTCTGGGGCCTCTCCGTTTTCCTCCAAAACTCCTCATTCCAGTCCTGCCCCTTCTGTGGACTGATAGCCCCTCTGAGGCCCTCCATCAACGTTCCCTGCCCCCAAGACCCCATTACCTGCTTGTTGCTGCTCATTTTCCTCCACGTGACCACCCACACCTTCTCCACGGACCCTCGTGTCTGCCCCAGCGCAGGCTTGGCCCGCTGCCTCGCGTGGGGAGCTGCCCGCGAGGCTCTTCCGGGGCCTTCCATGTCGCGGATGGGAACGCATATTTTCAATATGGGGCTGCTCTGCGTGCCCCCCCCATTCTCATCACTTTCTTGTGTGTGTGTGTGTGTGTGTGTGTGTGTGTGTGTGTGTGTGTGTGTTTTAAGGTGAGCAGCTCAGGCTGCGGGCGGTCTTCCTGATTTATTAAAGGCAGAGGAGGAAAAACAAGCTCCAATGTCCAGATCTACTTAGTAACCACATCCACACATTTATCGGAGGTGAGGGGGGCCTCTAGGAGGACGTTCTGGATTCCCAGAGGGCTGCCACACCGCCTGCCGTCCTGCTGACCTCTCTCTCTGTCTCAGCAGAACCTTATAATAACAACAGCCATAAATCTTTTAGTGGCTTCCATTCTCCTTCTCCTCCTGCAAAAGCCCTGCACGCATTTATCAGGTCCTTAAAGATGCTCAGGGACCACGAGCTCCTCCTTGATCCACCTCCTCACCAGCCTCGTGCATCTCGCCAAGTTTCCTTGGAACCACATCTCGGGTGGGGTCCCACCGCGGAGTGGTGGGGCACGGGGAGAGCGCGGTTGAAAAGTGGCGACAAAGTGGGTGCCGTCTAGGCTCAGACTTTGACTGGAGTGGTCCCAGCACTGCCCAGCTTCTGGCCGCCTCATCTCGGTGCCCTGGGGAAGTGGAGAGCACCTTAATCTCTCCAGGTCAACGAAGGGGCAACGGGACTCAACAGAGAAATGCCAGAACAGGTGTAATGGGCACTTACGTCGCCCGCTTTTCATAATCGGCTGAGAATGTAACAAAAGTCTCATTCTTCTGGCCACACTTTGAGATCTGTGGGTTAAGAGTTCCTTTAGAGGCACGGAATACATTCCCTGATGTCAATAGCGAATTGTGTATGAAGAAAAATGTAATGCTTTCAGAACATTTTCTTTTGGGCTTTGTCCATGATTAGATTACACTAAATTACAGAGTACAGATATCAGGCAATTACTCTTTGCTTTTTAACTATTCAATTTCATGGCAAATCCACGTAGCTCAGTAATTATAAAATCATACCGATGTGGTTGCCGAGAAAATACCTCATCATCTCCATCTTGTGAAGCTAGGTTCAGGTCGCCCTGTAATTACCAGTGGTCCTGTTAAGTGTAAAGTACATTCCAGACGAAGAGGGGTAATCTGTAACTCTCCGAAACTGCCAGTTTTCTGGAGATATTCTTGCAGATTTTGCCAGATAAACCTCAGTAACGTGTGAGGAAGAACGGCGTCCTTACCTGACTGGTTCCTCTGGGCACTCTCCCAGTCTGCTCCTGGCTGGGGCCTGGCCCTGGCAGTGGATCGCTTTAACCAGGAGTGTGTCTGTCTTTACTTCTGTTTTGTGAAAATACGGTCATTTTGTCTTGGCCCAGCTCACAGTCTCCTCCCCAACCTCCCCCCAGTTTTAATTTCTTCCAGGGCTGTGCATGTCCTGTAAGCAATCGAGTCTGCTGTGCTGGAAACTGAGGAACTCGGAGAAAAAGAATTATTTGAGCCAATTGTGAGAAATTGAACAGCGGCAGGAGGAGGAAAAGGAGAGAAGAAAGGAGCCGACACGTCTAACCAGGCGGCTGGGGCACTGTGCATACAGATGCAGGTGGTGGCTGGGTCCCTGTTGCGGCTCATTACTGAGAAGCACAGCAGAGGCCGCTGGGTGAGGGTCAGGGACAACAGCGCCGAGCTTTGAACGGGGCTCTAGGTGCTGTGGTTGCGGAGCCAATTCCCATTTTAAGAAATGCAGACTGCCTGGGGCATGATCCCCTCGGGGTCTCGTTTCTCTCCTTGGCGCCTATTTCAACACTGCTATTCAGCCCCGGGATCTTAAGGAAAAGCCCAGCGGGGTGGTGGGCGTGGAGGGGGAGGAGGGAGGAGGGGGAGGCTGGGGGTGGGCGGGGAAGAGGTGAGCGCCCCCTGCTGGTGATGGGGGAAGGTAGTCTCACTGTAGGGACAGATCCTGAGCAGAGACACAGGGAAAGACACAAAAGCAGTGTTTTCTCCATAGAAGGAGACGGTGACCGTTTAATGGTTTTTCTGCTTTTTTGGAATGGGTTCCAGATAATGGCGGGAATGGCGTGGTGGTACTCCGAAGGGCGAGGAGGAGTCTTGGATCCAGTTTTCCCCAACAGCATGCTTTGTAGATTCCTACGTTTCTCCCTCCCTTTTCTCCCCTGCCCTGTGCAGCCCTCTCTCCAATTATTACAGAGTGTTTTGGCAGCGTTTCCTGGGAACCTGCAGCTGCCCTTGGGATGATCAGTACGTGCATAGGAAATTGTGGGAATGTGCAGCATGGAGGGTGTGGATCCCATGTAAGGCTTGGGTGTTCCTCAGGACCATTCAGAGCACCCCCAAAGGACCATCCTTTTTTTTTTTTTTAATTTTTTTTTTCAACGTTTATTTTTATTTTTGGGACAGAGAGAGACAGAGCATGAACGGGGGAGGGGCAGAGAGAGAGAGGGAGACACAGAATCGGAAACAGGCTCCAGGCTCTGAGCCATCAGCCCAGAGCCCGACGCGGGGCTCGAACTCCCGGACCGCGAGATCGTGACCTGGCTGAAGTCGGACGCTTAACCGACTGCGCCACCCAGGCGCCCCAGGACCATCCTTTTTAAGGTTTGGGGTCGTCTTGTTTCGGTAACCACTGTCTGTGGCTAAGTTCTCGCAATGGTTGGGGTGGGTGGAAATACGGAATGGGCCTCATGTCTAATTGCTGATAACCTATGGGTAGAGGGAGCTGTGTTTCCTCTAAGGCCATCCAGTTTATAAATAAATGAGCATCCATTAATGTAACATTAAATTAGAATGAAATTTCCCATCCAGTTTTGTTTAGGAGGCAGAAATCAGTGGGTTGACTGTGGAATTTTGCTGCGGATGCTGGAGCATGCAGTCACAAGGTGATAATAATGATAGTAATTTGCTCGTGCCTGTACCCTCATCTCAAGGCACGTATTACCACCTGGCTTTTGCAAAGCCTCATTGAGGTTAAAGGGCTAGCTGGAAGTTACTCAGCAAGGGGTTGAGTACAGAAGTCTTATGGCTCTCCAGCCCATCTAGACCTTGAGTTTGCCAATAAACAGAAAGTGGAGACCTGAATGCCTCGCTCTGCCACCGACTGGTGTGTGGGCCGAAAATGCCGTCTCTCTGGACCTCAGTTTCCTCACCAGCACAAATCTTGCAATTCCGTGGGTCTCACGTGATAATTTGAACGGAGAATTTAGCCAAGGCACACGTTTTGCTGCTGTATATGTGCCATTTACAGCTAACTCCCTCTGAGCTTGATTTTTCCCCCCTTTATGCAATGACCCGGGGTTTGGCCTTTAAAAATTAAAATATTAAATAAAAGAGTCGTTTCTGTTTATTTGCCACTTTATTTGCCGGAGGGGGGCTTGCTTGGGAGAGTATTTTCCTTTGGAGCCCGGCTGTGGGGCATGCAGATTCCGGGGTCTCCCTCAGGTGGGAGGGCACTCCCAGTTTCATCCACCTTCCCCTGGAGCGGGCTGTCATTTGTCTGTTGGGGAAAAACACAGGAGGTCTGCAGCTTGGTAGATTCAGTGGGTCTACTTCTAAGCCTGGCCGCCGCCAACACAGGGCCAACCCAGGGAGGAGGGGGCGCCCCCAGGGGACGCTGGGCCAGGCTTCTGGAAGCTCTGCCTCTAGCTTTCTCTGTAGCCTGGGGCAAGTCATTTAACCTCCCGGTTCTTCCATTTCAAACACCAACTCCCCACCTCTCTCCTCTCCTCCTGGGGACCCGGAGAAGTAATTAGTGGCTGTTTGTCAGACAAGTCCTGGCTTTGCACAAGTGGCTCCGGCAGACCTTGAAGGGCAGACCTTGAACCGGGCAAGGCCACGTGGAGCTCAGGACTTCGATTTGTAGAATAGATAAAGGAAATGCAGGCTTCTGTGGCCAGACTGCCGCAGGGTTTCCTTCAGAGGAACTGCCCGGCCTGGGTGGTGTTTTGGGAGGGAATACGCGATCTGGAGCAGGGGAAGGGTTGGGTGGGTTGTCGTGGTCAGCTCTGCCAGGAGGGTGTTTGGGAAAGGGGCCTGAGCCATCAGGGCAGGGCCTCGAGATGCCCCTGGCTGGGGAACTGGGCCTCCCCGGTCCCCAGGAGCCATCTGAGCCCCTGCTCTGTGATCAGGCTTCCATCCGAGACAGGGGCACCCTTTCCCGGAGAAGACCACTTCATGTTCTCAAGCGCAAGGCAGAAAAGCAAATCGCCATCCCCAAGCCCTGCTCAGATGCACTCTGGGAATATTAACGTGGGTGGACAAGGCTGAGCCCCAGAGGCAGAGGCGCCCTGCCTCCCGTACCGTTCCGGGCAGGCAGAAGCACCTCACTCAGCAGCCCTTCCAGGGCGGCCCGGTGCTTTTCCAGCTGCCTGGAGTTCATCCTCGTTCCAGTTGCCACAGAAGCAGTCAGCTGTGAAATAAGGCAGAGTTAACAAGGAGGAAGAGACACGGAGAGCGCCATTAACGCCTGGGCGCCTCGCGGGCGGCAGGAGGCACTGCCAGGAGCCGCAGCACCCTGCGGCCCCATTCTGCCCCATCCTCTGGGAGCCTCGGCCTCCCAGGACCCGGCAGGAAATTCTGGCACCTCCCCCCAACTCGATCCAGGGGCCCGGATCCTGGGAGGCCCCCGGACTTGCTGCCCAGGGACCATCAACAAACCTCCCCTGGTGGGGAAGCTGGGACAGGAGGGGAGGGTCTGCAGGAGCCCGCTGCCCCCACCCCGCCGCCCCTGTCTTTTCCTGTGGGAGGAAACTCTCCCTCCCCCTTCTCCTGAGTAATGATAACCGGCACCGTGAAGCCTTAGGGCGCAGGCGCCATTCTAAACACTTCGTGTATATTAAGCCTCTCAATAACCCTGTGATGTAGGGATCATTAGTGTCCCCATTCTGCAGAGGAGGAAAGGGAGGACAAAGGGGTAGGATAACTCGCTCCAAGCCACACAGGTACTCAGTAGCAGAGGGAGAAGGTGCTATACCCAGGAGCGCTGACTCCAGGGTCTGTGCCCATGACCACCAGGTCTTCTCTAGCACCGCGGGGACACAGGCGAGACCCCAGAGTTGCTGTCTGGAGGCTCATCACCAAGAAAGGTGGTTGTGGCAGAGCCGGGGGTGCTGAGCTTGCTGTCACCCCCAGAGCTTCCTGGTTCAGTGGTCTTGGTTTGCAAACCAGCTGGCAGACTGGGAGATTGCCTGCCTGTCTGGAGAGCTGCGATGGAGGAGTCCCAGGCCCCCCACCCCCACCCCCCCACTGGTGGTGGGAAATGGGCTTGGGATGCCTGAAGGCAAGCAAAGGGTCCCCGTGGGCTCTGGCCTCCAGCCCTGCCGTGTCCTCACCTGACAATGAGGAGGCTGGACGGAATGATCCGGAAAGGACCTCCTGGCCTGTATATCATGTTCTAGGGGGATGGAAAGGGGACGAGGGGTACCTCACCCTCAGCCTCCGAGAGGCATTCCACAGGATGTAACATGTGCTTTAAACTGCCTTGGGTGCGGAGGGCAGTCCTGAGGGAGCTCCCCTTTGCCAGCTGAACCAGTCACCCCCAGTTCCTCCTGGGGAGCCCAAGGAGCATGTGGGGAGGAAAGGCACACTCCCCTAACCCCACCACCCAGGGTGGTGACAGCACCGAGGAGGCCATGACCGACCTCCCTGTTTATGGACAGCTGATGGGGTCTAAAGACCCCTGGCTGGTGTCCAGCTCAGTTTTGCCCTGACTGTGACCTTGGCAAGGCCCTCGTTCTCTCTGCATATCAGTCTTTTCCTCTCCCAGGCCTCTTTACAGGGAAGTGTCCCTCCCCTCAGTCCCGGAGCCCTTCCTTCTCCATCCATACCCACCCCCTTAAGAATCCCACTGTCCTGGCTTGAAACTCCAGCTAATTGCCGATGCCTCCCACATTGATGTCTGCAGCCCTGAGCGCTCCTGAAGTCCAGACGGCTATATACACCTGCCTTGTGCGACGCCTCCACCTGGATGCCCACCAGGCATCTTATAGTTCACAGGTCCTGTCTGACCTCCTGACCTTCCTCCTGCCATCCTGCAGCCAACCATAGGCTTCACCGTCTCCTGAGTGGCAGATCTATCCTTCCAGGTATTCCGGCCCCAAACCTCAAAGTTCGTTTTTACGTTTCTCTTTCTTTATACCCTGCATTCGTTCTTTCAGCAAATCCTCAGAGCTTCTAACTCGAAATTATTTCCAGAACCTGACCACTGTGCTCTGCCTCTACCTTGACCACCCTGGGCTCTTGGATGTGCTAGCAGCTCCTCGGTGGTCTCCCGAATCCTGCCCTTGCCCCTTCGGGCTGCTCTCAACGCGGAAGCTGGGGAGACTCTTGTAAAATGTGAATCTGATCATGTCCCTCCTCCGCTCCAAAGCCCCCAGCAGCTCCCACCTCAGCAGAGGGAAGGCAAAGTCCAAACAATAGCCTACAAAGTCCACGGTCTGGTCCCACCTCCCTCTTCCTCCCTGACTCCCTCTGCTCCAGCCACTCCAGCCTCTTCACTGTTCTTCCACACTCTTCCACCAGGCCTCCTCCTGCCTCGGGGCCTTTGCATTGACTATTCCTGCCACCTGGAATGCTCTTCCCCCAGATATCTTTGTGGTTGCCTGCCTCACCGTCTCCAGGTCTCAGCGCTAATACCGTCTCCTCGTGAAGCCCGCTCTGACCACCCTGTTGAGGTTGCAACCCATCCGCCTCCAGTCCCTGCCTTATTTTCCTCCACGGCACCTGTTAGGACCGGCCACATTATGATGCTTGCTTCTGTATCCTGTCTGTAGTCTGCTGCCCGTCCTTCTGACATCTCATTTCCAGTCCCCCGCTGCAGTGTGAGCTTCACGAGCTCGGAGGATGTATCTGTTTTGTTCACCGCCCTATCGCCAGGGCCCAGAACTGAGCCATGCTTCACACTTAGGGCTCAGTGTCTTCTCATCTGGATAAATGAGGCTGAGAACTTAAGAGCCGCACTGGACAAACTCAAGGCTCGCTTAGGCCACCACGATCTGTGCATCCTAACACAGCACTGCAGGCCCGAGGCCCTGGGTCTTGACACTGTAGTCGTCTCCCAGGGCACCCTTGTGCTCTGTCTCCCGGTGACCGCAGTTGCCCCCTGACTCGTCTCCTGCCTCCACTTGTGCGGTCCCAGATCTTTCTAAGTCAGATGAGATGACTTCCCTGCTGTGAACTCCCCAGTGACCTTCCAGACATGGTGCCTGGACCACTAGGCCCTGCCACTCTCTTGTCCTCTCCCAAGTGCGCCCTGGCCTTGGGGGCCTCACACCTACCACATGCTTCCTGAGCAGGGCCTCTGCCGGCACGTTTCCTTCTGGGACGTTCTTGCTCTAGCTGTTTGCATCACAGGCTCCTTCTCATCATTCCGGTTCCAAATCAAATAAATGTCACCTCCTCTGAGAGGCCTCCTAGCCAAAGCAGTGCCCCCAGCCCCCACCCCCTCACCCTCTATCATGCCTCCTTACCCGGTGCCTTATTTGAGACAGCTGTGTCATTGTTGGTGTCTGTATCTCTCCTAGGATGGAACTTGTTGCCTGAATGTCTGGTTTGCTGCTGTGTTCCAGAACAATCTGTGGCTGGCAGGGGGAACCCTTCCCCACACTAGGTTTCTCTGCATTGTCCCCCTGTCTGCTCACCTTGATAACTTCGTTTTCTTCTTCCTCTGTGGGCTCCACAGGGTCCAGAGGGCCCACTTCCTCGGACCTCTGCTGTACAATCAGGGATTTCTTTTGCCCTTTGTTCCGCTCCTTTTCCTAAGGGCAGAGCACAAATTTGCACAAAACCTGCCATCTCTCCACCGCCCAGATGGCCCTCGCCTGTCTCTGCCCAGGGTGCTAAGTGGTCTGAGCTTCCCACAGGCCAAAAGAGTTCTCCCAGGTGCCTCTACACGAGGAGTTCCAGAAACCCAACGGCTTACAAATGGCCCTCAGAGTCGTTCACCAATAGGTCAACTTGAAGAATCCGTTCCTTTGTAGTTCAAGCATTGCACCCAGATTATTACTGTTAATTAAGTTAAAATGCTGAAAATAAGGGCTGCCCTTCATGCATATTAAGTGTGGAAATGTGTTTTTCTTCGCAGAGAGCCCATAAAAAAGGTGGCAAGACAGCCTCGCCTGGGAGGGCGCCATGGGGTGGCCCAGAAACTGGAGTCCCTGGGAGGTGATTTATAAGAGGCGAGACAGGGAGATGAATTATGGAGGAAGGAGTTTGCAGCTTCTTCAGAGAAATCCGGTGCCTGGCAATTCTGAGGAGCAAAACCACAGAGCGGATCAACGCAAAGCGTTCTTTGGTTGCCATTTTGCTAGTTTATGTTCTACCGACGTTGATTGTTTCTGCCCAGACCTAAACCTTACGTGGCATCCTGCTTGCCAGGTCCCGGGGCACCGAGATCAGACACACCTCAATCCTTTGGCTTCTCTAATGACCCCCTTGGGATTCAGCTCTGGGCCTTGCCTGGGACACGGTGATTCTAGAACAATTGGTTGTCCCTTCTGGAGAGGAAGCCGGTGGTAGAGAAATTATGTTTAGAGAGCCTGCTGCCTCTCTTCCATATTTCTATGTCTACCCCTGAAGAAAGGGAGCTGGGGCTGGCCTTGCCTCTGCAAAGGACATAGGCCGCTGGGTATGTGGAAGCTTGCCCCGGACAGAGTATGGAGGTGCAGAGGCCATGCGACCTCCCAGAGAACGGATTCGTGGGTTTGTCCCTACTGGAGCCGAGTCTCAGACAGGTGGGACACGACAGTCCCATCCAGCTCCTCAGGTCAAAGAGAAACAAATATCAGCACAAGATACTCAGAACCCCTTGACATCTAAAGTAAAAGGCACGGGGAGCCAGGTCTGGCAATCCAGTTTTCCAGAGGCCCTGCTGCCTGAGTTGCATTAAGCCTGCCTTGTTTTCTTCCGGGTTTTTTTTTTTTTTTAAATGTTTATTTATTTTTGAGAGAGAGAGAGAGAGAGAGAGAGAGAGAGAGAGAGAGACTGCATGTGAGCAGGAGAGGAGCAGAGAGAGAGGGAGACACAGAATCCGAAGCAGGCTCCAGGCTCCGAGCTGTCAGCACAGAGCCCCATGTGGGGTGCGAACTTGTGAGATCATGACCTGAGCCAAAGTCGGACGCCCAACCGACTGAGCCACCCAGGCCCCTTTTCTGGCTTCTAAAGAAGAGGCTCTGACCAGCACTCCGTGGGGGACCAACCCCTCGCCCCCTCCTTCTCTCTGAAGACCCCTGCTCAGTTCTCACCTTTTCCCTTCCGACACCCCAGGGGGGCTTCTCCCGCCTCTGAACTTAGCACTTAACCATCAGCATCACTTACTGGGCAATTAATCCCGTCCTGCCTTGTGCCGTGTCCCTTTGTTTTCTATTGTTAGTGAATTTTTCATACGATTTTGTATCTTGGCTCCTGAGCCTGCTCCTGGAAGACGGAGGTTCCTCGATTTCCTCGCATGCCTGGCCTCTCACCCAGGGTGGCCCTTTGTACTATGGAGATGCTCAGCAAATATTTATCGGCTTGTTAATTGAAAATCTCCTCTGAAGGATGGGCAGGGTGGGAAAAGATGTCACTTGTGGGAGCCGCTGTCACCTTTGGTTGGTGCTAGTGGGGAATGAAGGCCGCAGGGAGGCAGCTGGAGTTTGGGGTCAGCTTGGGTCTGGGTCCTTCATGCTCCCCTCGATGTCACTGATGCCAGCTATGCAGCTGATTAAACGTGGGTTTCCCCCAAGGGACACTTGTGCCTTAGAGAGACTAACACCACTTCAGCGCTGAGCAGCTGTGAGTCACTTGGACCACGCTGGGGAGGCAGGCAGCCTGGGGGATTTCCTACCCGAATCCTCTGGAGCTCGCTGTGGGTGAAGATGGGAACGAAGGCTTCCGTCTGGGAGGCCAGCATGATGGCCCCGTGCACCATCAGCAGGACAGCCACGGCCTTGCGGGACACCATCCTGGGGCTGAACAACAAGAAGCTCTTGTCAGGTTCACGGCCCACGCCCTGCCAATAGCTGTGACGTTGAGCAAGCCGCTCGGCCTCTCCTCGTGTGGGCCGGGTGTGGGGCTTTACCAGAGGAGCTCAGAGGCCCTTCTCTGCCCCAGAGAGGTGAACAAGTGCCTGGGAGAGGCCGTCCTGCCCCCGTCACACAACTGGGGGAGAAGCATCCCACACGCCAGCCACCCTCGTTGTTACCGGTGAGGTCTTCCAAAGCTTCCAAAGCTCGTGAAGGGGGAAGGACTCCATGTCTCAGAAGAAAAACTCTAGATTAGCAACAGAATGGTGCCCCAAGACTCAGGGAGCCCTCACTGCTCCCTGGGATGGACTCAGGCCCTGATGACCCTGGGTGTCCCCGGAAGCACCAGGCGAAGACCTTGGGTCTGAAGAGAAAGAGGCTGGGACCCTTTGCCCCGGGGGAAGGCAGAGCAGATGGAAATTTTCAGCAGGGAGCAGCATCCCGGAGCTGGGAGTGGGGTCTCCACCCCTCTGGGGCCAGCGCTGGCTCGGAAACAGGACTCTTGAGCCCCAGCTAGCTGCCTGTTGGTTACCATCTAGAAAGGACAAGAGTTCACCTCTGCCCCGCACCTCCCTCCACCCCACCTCAGAATGCCACGGATGCTGGGGGTGCCTGCGTGCCTGCGTGAGGCCTCCTGTGTCCCAGGATGGGAGCAGGTCTGGAATGGTGGGCCGGAAGGTGGGCCGCTGACGTTCGCCAGGGACCAGGTGGGTGTGGTGACCTCAAGAGTGCAACGGCTTAAGAAATGGGGTCAGAGAGTGCCTGGGTGGCTCAGTCTGTTGAGCATCCAACTCTTGATTTCAGCTCAAGTCATGATCTCAGGGTCGTGGGCTCAAGGCCTGCCTTGGGCTCTGCGCTGAGCATGGAGCTTGCTTGGGATTCTCTCTCTGCCCCTACCCTGCTCATGCTCTCTCTCTCTCTCTCTCTCTCTCTCTCTCTCAAAATAAATAAATACTAAAAAAAAAAAAAAAAAAAGAAAAGAAAGAAAGAAATGCAGTCAGTTGGGCAGGCTTCAGGCCCTGTCGGGATGGTCCAGTGGCAGGGGTTGGTGATGGCGCTTCCTGCTGGGTGCCAGCCTTAGTTGATTCCGTAAGTAATTACCCCGGTGCTCAGTGTCCCCCTCTAAGCCCTCTCTCACATGATCCTCCCACTCATCCGGGAGCAGATGAAATCTGGGGAGGGGAGGAGGCCTAGAGAGGTGAAGACCTAGGGAGGGGCCAGGCCCCAGAGCGAGGAAATGAGACCAGGGGGCGGCCCCTGCTGCAGCGGGCGTGGGGGTGATCACAGGGTTGCAGATAAAAGGCTTTGGGGGAGTCGGCCCGGGGCTGCTGGTGGGAGAGGGTCGTGCCCTGGACTGGCCTCTAAGTATTGCGGGTCCAACCCCAAATCCCCCTCTGGAGAGGATCTTCGAAGGCTGTGGGCTTGCATCCTGCCTCTTCCCTGGGACCTGTCTCCTCCGTCATCTGAAGCCACTGCTATGAAGCAGGACGCTCCCTCTGCCTTCTTGCGATCCTTCCTTCTGCCCCGTCCTACTTTCTCTCTCCATCTGGCGAACACTCCATGAGAAAGGATGAGAGAGCTCAGGCAGCCAAAGCCTCCCATGCCAGCTACATACAAATTCCTAGTGGGGTCAGAAAACTGCTCACCCACTGAAGGCGGACCCTCGGGAAGACGAGACCCAGCCCCGGGAGGATCTGGAGAGGAACAGAGGATGGGTGGGGGGTGGAGAGCTCCCAGGCACTCTCCCCCTCCCCGTTCCTACGCTTCCCCGATGGTGCGTCTGTGGAGCCCTGTTTCCCTCCCAGTGGGGACGGATATGTCACATTTATGGCGTCCCATTTCCTTCACAGAGATGCTATAGAGCCCTTTTCATTCCGGTGTTCGCATTTCATTCACTCCATAAGAATCAATAAAAACTTTAAATAAAAAAAGGCAAAATCCAATTGCTGCTCATTTTCTTGATCCAACTGGCAGTTGGCATGTCACCTACATTCATTTGTGTTTCTGGGAGCTCGGAGTGGGAGAGCTTTTCACTGTGTGATGAGCCAGTGACGTCCCTTTTCCATCTCCAGCGATGGGGCTCCAGCCTACAAGTGATCAGCTCTGGATAAGCGGGCACCTGTCTCCTTCCTCCCCACCCATGGTACCACCCGACCTGGCAAGAGTTGCCCCGTCCTGTAATCTCTCTAGGGACCAGCTTTCTCCTGAACTTCCCAGAGCAAAGCCTTCGTGCCAAGCGGGGTCCGGTGTCCATGCTGAGCCCTGGCTTGGGTACCTGGCCTGCAGTCAATGGCACCACGCATCTCAGACAGCCTCCTTTTTATCAGGACTTGCACCCACCCCTCCTCCCTCCAGCTTCCGTGCCTCCGGGGCCGTCCTGCCTGTGCTCCCACTATGTATGGCTTCAACCTGCTTCTCTGGAAATCAGCTCGGGGCTTTCAGCCGGAAGCCTAGTTAAGTATTTGAAGGTGGCAGAGGGACATAGGGGAGATCTCTGGACTGGGCTGGTTTCTGCCTTGGGGCTCAGGCCGAACTCCCCCTCCCCCCGCCCCTCTCCTCTGTGGCTACTCACAGCAGCAGGGTCTGGGTGGCACTGACCTTGTCTGTCTCTGCTCCTCCTTTGGTATCTGGCTCATCTGACCCGCCCTTATATCTGCTATCTGGCTGGTCTGATGGGCCCTCTAGCCCTCCCTTGGGAGCCCGTTAACCTTTGGCCACACCTTGGGGGCTTTGGGTGGGGAGCCTGGATTCTCGAAGCTCATGGAAACAACAGGCAGGGCCTGGCACGTCGTTGGACTTCTGGGGCTTTCCCGGAAGATGACAGTCAGGATTTGGTGGAGGCCAGCTTCCACCAAGATGGCACTTTCCCGTCCACTTAGAACTTAGCTGCCGCTCAGAGGGTCGTTTTAACAAAAGCCCTTTCTTTTTTGTTACTTAAATATATGATGTTGTTGAGTGTCTTCAGGCCAGCTCTTTAGTGATTGGATTCTCTGTTGGGCTGTCAGAGAGAGTGCTGTATTAGAAAGATAACTTGCCTTCAGCCTCGGGGGCGGCCCCCCCCCCCGAAGCCCCTCACAAAAGAAAGAAAAGGCTCAGGAGTGTGTGGCAGTTTAAAGCGACTAATGAAAAGACAATGACAGTCTAGACCCAGGGCTGTGGAGCAACAGAGACTCTGTGGGAGCCAAGAAAGCATGTAAGGTGTGTGATACAGAGGTTTATGGGTTTGTAGCGTAAATGGGGGAGATGAGACACCTATCCAGGCACGTTTCATGGTAATCGTATAACTCAAATGGTGAAGTGAAAGATTTAAACAGGGAAGAGATGAATGTAATCTGGAGTCAGGGCTTACTGCTGCTGCTGGCCAGTGCCGTTTCTGGAACACGGTCCGGGAATGCTTGACACGCATGTTCTAATGAAGCCTCAGCGATGCCATGACGTTGGTGCTCTTAATTGTCCCATTTTGCAGATAAGGAAACCGAGGCACAATGAAATAGCTCCTCGGTGACCCCACTGTAAGGTCTCTCTCTCTCTTTTTAAGTCAGCTCTACTCTCTATGTGGGGCTCAAACTCACAACCCTGCCCTGAGATTGAGAGTTGCGTGCTCTACCGACTGAGTCAGCCAGGGACCCCCGAGGTCTCTCTATACAAGGGTCAAGGCTGGTCGTGGCCAGACATGGCAGAGGATGGGAGTGGGGGCTTCTGGGACACAGGGTATATGCAGGAATAAAGGATGGCATGGGTTGGCAGGGTCTCCCTGTGGGTTGGGAGAGGGTCATTCTTGGGTCTGAGTGTGGGCATTCTTAGAAACCAAGCAGAAGGATTTGGATTTGATGGGGGGAGAAACGGGGGCCCTCATAGTTAGCCTTGAATGGGCTTAGTGGTTGGGTCTGGTCATCAGGGCAGGGCGAGGAGAATCTGGGAGGTGGCTGGGGCAGACTGAGGGTGAAGTCCAGAGGGTCTGGGCTAGCAGAGGCCATTTCTCCAGGAGAACCTCACTGGCGATTAGCACCTTCCAGAGACGCTGCCCCAAACATTCAGATGGGGATTGCTTCTTGTCCAGGCACCCCCCTCCCCCCCACTCAGTCCTCCAGTCTGCTGTGGCTTTTCCTCTCAGAAAGAAACAAGTGCAGGTGCTTCAAACCCAGCCCACATAACCTCTAAACCCCCGGCTCAGCAAGGCTTCCGGCCAGCAGGGTCTCTGCATTCTACTCTGACGCCAGGTTAGACCTCGTCCAGCTCGCTGGATCGCCGCCTGTTGTCAGACGGGTGCACTGGGTCCTGCAGTCTTTGAGATTTATCGCAGAGAAATTAGAGCTTAAAACGCCAGGGCTTGGAACTGAGATGCCACTCCTTGCCCTGCCCCAGGTTGCAAGAGTGGCTTTTAAGACCAGGTCACAGACCTTGGTAGGGACAAGGTTAGCACGAGGGTAATGAAGGAGCCCACCACCTACCCAGGTTCTGGGAGGCTGGTCTGCACAATGGACTCCTGTTGGGCGGGGAGGGGGGCCGGGGAACACGTCAGTTTCTGTGTCTCTCATGCATAGACCAGGGGCAGGCCAACTATGGCCCACGGGCCAAATCCAACCTGCCACTTATTTTTACATAGCTTATGAGCTACAAGTAGTTTTTACATTTTTAATAATTCATAAAAATCAAAGGAAGAATAATATTTGGTGATATGTGAATATATATGAAATTCAAATTTCTGAGTCCATAAATAAGGTTTCATTGGAACACAGCCACTCCCATTCATTTGCTTATTGTCTATGGCTGCTTTGGGGCTACAACAACAGAGCTGAATAGTTGGGCAGAGACATTAAGACCCACAAAGCTGAAGAGATTTATTATTTGGGCCTTCTAGAAAAAATTTGCTTACCCCTGACCTCGACAGTGTCTGGAGTGTGGAAGGTGCTTGATATGTAAAAAATAACAGCCAGACATCAGCTTTTTGCAATGTCACAACACACACTGTGAAGCTGGTATGGATATTATTCCATTTTACAGGTGGGAAAACTGAGGTGAAACAATGGGCCCAAGGTCACAGCTATCAAAATGGCAGGGCCAGGATTCAAAGTTTGGCTTCAGAGGCCACTGTGTTTTTTTGCCGCTTGATGCTTGATGAGTGAGTAGGTAGGATGTCTACAGCTGGGGAAGGCCCTTAACAGTGAGTGCCACTTTCTCCTAAGCCAGGCCCACCCCCCTTCCCCCCCCCCCCCGCAAGGGATCTGAGCACAGTGCAGTCTGAGCTGACCACCTGGGACAAGCACAGGTTGTTCTGGTGTGTTCTTAGTTTTGGAGAGGCCAGACCTGGACCCAGGAAGGGCTGCAGCTGGTGGGCCAGGCGTCCACCAAGCACAAGGGGAAATTCGAAGCCTCTGCTCACCACCCCTCTGCACCAGGGCTCTGAGA